CCCCCCCACCCCTAGCTTCATCCAGGAGATAAATAATGGCTGGTCCCTTATCAGGATAAAGCAGTGATGCCCTAACACGCGCACTTGTACTGAGGCGTAACTTACAGGAAGCCGCTGCTATTCTCTCGGTCAATTCTCCCGCCTCGGATCTCTCTCAGCATGTTCTTACGACAGTTCAACGTCTTAAGATGATTCATTCGGTCTTTTACGTCTTGAGCCTACAAAATAAACAAGGTAAAACATAGAAAATATTAAGGCACTTTAACAGCAGAACTTTCAGTATTTCTCATCAGTTACAATGAATGAGCAGCTATGGCGATCAATTTTACGTACACCAGAAAGTTTAAAGATTATAAAGGTACACATTTGAACTTCGCAGCATTTGAAGTTACGCAGCCCTCAAGTACACAAATTCTCCTCAGTCTGAGAGTGGTACCTTCTTTATTGTAAGATGTGGGTCATTCCAATATGATAGTGTCAATTACAGAAACAGACAATGCTACGGTTTTTGACAGAAAAACCGAGTTGGTCACCTGACAAACAAACCCTACAGACATCAATTCGAAAGCAGTCTGACCTGCGTTATAGAAAAGACATCCAGTAGTTGTTTCTGAACATCAATCAACATATCTATAGCCTTAGCTTTCGCTTCATCACCGTCTGAGATCTGACTCAAAGTTTCTGTAATCCTTCGGGTTTTTTCATGGGCCTCTTGAATTGACACCTCCTTTTGATGAGACTTTCGTAAAAGCTCCTCTTGCATACGGTTCTTCTGGTCTTCTTGGTTCTGTTTGATTTCAGTCTTTCTGAGCTTCTTCTCCCTCTGATGATGGAAAGGGTTTGAGATTTGGAATAGGCAGATTATCATGGCATTCCACTGGTAACGGTAGAAAAATTGAGTAGACCTCCCTCTATCACGACATCAAATCTGACTAGGAATTTCCAGTCCCAGCCTAAGCGTTTGAAAACAAACCTCTGGCAGGAAATGAAATCTAGAACAAATTCTGGGTATTGAGACGAAATCGATTTTTTAAACACCACATTACTGGCGTCGGCCAGATCTCTACGAGTTAACTTTTCTGTCCCCTCACCCCTCAACTAATGTTGTAACTGAGCATATTTGTATATAATGTCGCGAAGACATAGCTGAATAATGAATGTGCATGTCACTAAAACGCCAATGAATTCATAGCAACAGTGTATATTAATCCATCTGGCAGTAGTTCTAAAGATGTTAAAGGCCCTTATAACATTCTTCAATTGAAGCTATTTAGAAAACTGAAACAGGCTATCAAGGTAATTTGGCTATATCAACTAAGTTGAAATTGTAAACTGGCCACCGTAACGAGTAAAAAAGCCGACGTTTCGAGCGTTAGCCCTTCGTCAGAGCAAATGGAATGCATTGGAATCCATTCGGAATAAAATCCATTCGCTCTGACGAAGAGCTAACGCTCGAAACGTCAGCTTTTTTACTCGTTACGGTGGTCAATTTACAATTTCAACTTAGTTGATATAACCAAACCTTGTTACCCTCATCGACGCAGCACCACAGTTTCTTTAGAAACTTTCAGCCTTTAAACAGGCAATCGCGGAGGACCGCCTAACACGCATATCGATGTTAAGATGGCCTAACCTATACAAAATGGTTTTTCGCGATCAAAATAAAGCAATTTAAAGCTACATTTCAGTAAGAGTGCAAAGATAAAACTTTGGTGTGCTAAAGATATTTCTTGTCCCCGTCGTGGGACATTCTGCAGCAAAAGTTTTGAGTTTAAACTCTCTCTGCTTGCTTCCTAAACCAAGGAGAAAACAACGTCGCTTTTCATTTTTTCATAACTTCGTCCATTTATTCAGGTAATTTTGTGGTTTCAAGCATGAGGCCGTGATATTTCTTTAATTGCACCGATGTTTTTCAGCTGTGTCGGTCACGTGCTGGTCAATTTTTCATCGTTACAAAGCTAAAGATTTCTAAAAATTCCTCACCCCCTCAAGACATGGATTATAAAACAAAGCTTATGTTAGAACACTTTTTCCCCGAGCCTATAAGGAACTCCAAGACCGAAATATGAAGGCTTTATCGACTTTTAAGCTGACCTTCAGTTTGGAGAATATTTTCAATAACTGTTCTTGAACTTCCAACAGCGCGTCAGTGGCTGAACCTCGACGATCGATCATTTGTTGCTGATATAGTTCCATTCGTCTCATTCTTTCTTTTTCCATTATCTCTTTCTCATTTTTTATTGGCCGTCGTCTAATTTCTTGCAGCATCATCTCTTTCAAGTCCTCTGTTTTCTCCCGTTCATTTTCTTCGTTGGTGGCCCTAGCATCCTGAGAGCAAAGCAGAGGATTTTGATCAGTCTTTTTGCCGCCTGCTTTACATTCACTAAACGAGTAGCTGAGATAATCATTCGATGCAATTATGCTTCCTTTTCATAGGCCAATAGCCCCGCACGAGAGCATGAGATACCTTTCTAGGAAAGATGGTTCGCTCATGCTGTAGGTGTATATTTCGGTTTACGCCCTTCTACGGGAAAATGGCGGAACTTTGTCTTGAGAGAGCGATCCTCGGTTAGGGTTACCTTTCGAGCAAGCAAATACTAAGTAATCGAGAGATTAACAGTCATTAATCTCGGTTATCGCAAAATAGTGGGATTTTTAGAGTCTCACAGATCCATTTTGTTCGCGAAAACCGAGGCTAAGTGATCGGCCAACTCGTTATGGACACTTCACAATACTCTTTTCAACCTCGTCAAAACAATTACACATTTGTCTTCGGATTGAAAGCAATTTATTCAGAACGTGGCATATGAAATTAATCTATATCGCTTAAATTTAGTCAGACGAAACATAAATTATGAATTGTCTCGCTATAGGCAATTTATTCTCTCAAACTCATTACTGCGACGAATTACTTCATTATAGCTCCTTACCCTCATCATTTTAAAGGCATTTTTCAGATCAGCGTGTACGTAACTCAACCTATCGTTTGTTTCTGCCATTGCAAGCCCAACTTCGCTGACTGTCTCTGTTATCTCCCTCACTTCTTTTATCTTTCTTGCCCTCTCTCTCTCGAATTCTTCTGTAGCTTTCCTTCTCGCCATCTTGCTCAGAAGTTCTTCGTGCATTTTGTTCTTGGAAGTTTCTACATTGCGTCTCTCACGTTCGCAATCCATTTGAAACTTTGCCTGAAAGATTGAAAGATGTGCAACAGTAAACATTATACAAGGATGTCCTCAGGGCGTGAAGCATACTTCAATTGCACCTAATTGGCTCATGTTGTATAGTGCCGGACTGTCATGTGGGAGGTCAAGGATTCAAGCCACAGGCGCACCAAAACTCAGGGCTGCCTTTGCTATGACAACTATAAATAATTAGACGATAAAGCGTGGGCCCTGTCTCCTTCATCTTCTCTTAACTGGTTAGCAGGGGCCGTTAAAGAACCTTGGAAATTCTCACAAAAAGCAAGGTACGTAGCTCCTGGTGTTGTTGTTTATACATTTTAAAGATCCTTATAAGTACGGTAATTTTCAATACAGGAAGAGGTGGGGGCAATTAGGAAAGAAGAAGAATCTCTGCTTTATGTCGCTGAAGACACTGTCTATTTCTCTTTAGAAATAGGTCCACCTATGCAAGATAAATGGTATAAAGGAAAGCAGTTTGGATTCTGGTATGAATAGAGAACAGGAAAAGGTAGGAAAAAACAAAACAAAACCACAAGTCAGCTTACATCGTGAATGGCAAAGAGATGTAGAAGTTCCGTATGAACATTTGATAACTGTCCACTCTGGACAGAAATATCGAGTTCGGTTTCTTCCACATCAGCTGAAAAAGGTACTGACATTCGGCGAGCTCTTTCACCTTCCTCAGCTTTATTGACCATCTGAATTGTTTCCTGCAGGTCTGCACCCTCGAGGTTTTTTGAAACACCTGGCAGTGAAATTTCACCTTTTAGCCAATGCCTGTGTTCGCTCTTCAAGGTTGCCACGTTCTGTGAAAGGAGGGATTAATATTTAGGAGATTAAAAGAAATAATTCCTCGAAAGATTTTGAATTTAGTTGTCAACTTCCTGCAGTACTGTGGTAGAACAACTGATCGTTGTTGGGATAGCCATGGGTCTCAGCTCCTAGGCTCCAGTCTCGCGAAAAATTCCTTTTTTCCCTCTCTTAAGGAGCGATTGGACAAGCATGCTTAACGACAGATTATGAACAAGATAAGCACCTTCTCTGTCTAAAATTCACTTAAGTTCGCAATATCAAACTTTATAAAGTAGGGCTTTGTGGACCGCTATTGTAACAATGCCAAACGCGGAAAATAAGCGGCTCTTGAAGAGGTTTTATACTACAGCATTCACTTACCTTGTGCCGAGCGCATTGCCTTCTTAACAAACTTTTGACTCCCATGATCTCCTTTTCAATTTCTTCAGGATCAAAATCTGTATCACTACAATCACCTTCACTTTCGGTGGTGTTGTCATGTTCGATGGCAGGTTTACTTAATTCGGCGCTATCACTCATACCTACGGCGACTTCGAAAGCTGAATAATCCTCTTGCTTGAATCCACCCCAATATTATTAAGGAAGACAATGAGTATTACGCAACAAGAAGTAATGATCTTAATTACCTAGTCCTTGCTAAATTAAATATATGCGCGCGCATGTTGTTTGCAGGAGCAGAAAAAATCGCGGAAAAGGATTGATACGTACAAGCACATGCGCAAAGAAGTGAGAAAAGCTGCATTAGTTTATCTGTTTAATTTATAGATGGCTAGCTGAATTGTACTGTTACGATTTCATTTCAGAAACTAATAATACTGCAAGGTCGCAATCGGTTCACGTGTCCAGAAACTTCTAATTTGGATTCCTCATAATTAAGTGGGTTCATGGACCTTAATCTTTGAGCTGAGGCATTGATGTAAATTTTTCCGTTTTCCAGGTTATTACTTTTCACTTTATATGGCAAAAAACCTTTCGAACAACCCGCAACAGAACTTTGAAAGTTCGAAATACTATTGCTTTGAAAAGTTCTGTACAAGGAAATAATTTAATTTGGTAAAGCTCTCGCTGATTTGTTTACAGTTTTCTTATTTTCGTAATGGATGGTTTGCGATGGAACTAATTGCGATTTGTCCACTTGCCTTCCCAAACACTGGACATAGCTAGCAATATTTTATTTAAGAAAACAATGAAGTGTAAACCAGGGTTAAGGACTTAACAAAGGAATTACCAAAAATCAGCTTTTTACGACGACTCAAGACATTTTTGTTCTTAATTTTAAATGCAAATTTTATTTAAGTTATGTATTACAACAGCACTAATACCTTAATGTTAAGCTTGCATTCTAATTAATTGGCTTAAAATTTCATCTCATACACAGCGAGTTGAGAAATCCGGGATTTCAACAACAATAAATATGGTTTATAATAGTTTTTCTATTAACGGGCTTTTCAAGAATGTCGAGATTGCTTATCAGAAGAATTCTACAACTCTTGATGTATATCATCAATGTCTACTTTGTCTTGCGTCTCCTCGCTCTCATCATCATTATCACTATCATCATTATCATCCTCCATGTAAGCGTCATTTGGCTCCGGGCTTTCCATTCCCGGGGGAATTTCCGGTTCTTTTCCCCAATCAAAAAACCGCTGGATAGCACGGCGCAGATTACTTTGTACTTCCTGTTTAGTAACCTGGTCTGAGACGTTTGTCTCGTTGCGTAGTTTATTAAAAATCTAAAATCAAAATTAGGAAATTAAAATTATTTCAAGACATATTGATTAGTCTAGCGATGACATTCAAAGCTCTCGAACGTCTAACATGCATACATACATACATACATACATGCATACATTGTCATTTATTTTTACTCCAGATAGATCCTTTGAGAAACAGACCGGGTGCTAAATTGACCAGACCAGAAAAATAGTCTAGTTAGGAGCAGATATGTAACGAATTTGAGAAAATAAATGACATTTTTAAAATACATGTTCCCACAGTAACTACTGTCATTTTCAGCTAAAATAAATACAAAATACAGAGTTTAATTTAAAGCGCTTACATAATACTGATGGGACAAACATTACATTACATTTACATTTTTACATTTATATAGCGCAGACTTCTATGTGGATATATGCAGTCGCGCTTAACAGTATCGTAAGGTTGAGATCGGACGTCAGCATACAACAATAGAAACAAAACAATGTACACAATTACAAGGTTTTGCCAAAGGAGCAATCACAAGGCAAAAACAATACAATCTATCAAATATGCATTCTGCAAATGCTTGGCGCATTTTATTAAAGCCCAGTAAAAGTAGCCCTTTCGAGACAAACGCTCTCGTAATAATTTCGTGTTAGGCCTTTAGCGGGCGGCGTGTGCGTTGTAAGTGAAGGAGCGTCCCACAAAACACGTTTGAACTTCTAACTGGTAAAAATAATCCCTGAAGACCTTTCTAACCCCGACAGATCATAGCAACAAAGTCATCACGAAGGAAATGAGCAATTACACTGGCTAGATTAGCTCACAATTCTTTGTTAAGATGTCACTCTTGGTGTGCGTCAATGTCGGGTTAATTCTATCGGAACATATTGCGGTACCCTGATTTCAAGACCTGAATGGCATGAAGGACAATACTCTGACTGGTACAAGCATGCCCAATGCTGTGATCTGATTGGGGCGAGATACATACCCTAATGCGCCGATCTGATTAACGCCAGATACAGACCATATGCGGTGATCTGATTAGTGCCAGATACAAACCACTCAATACGCTAACATGGAGTTATTATTTTTTTAATATTAAAAAAAACTCAAAGAAAGGTTTGTTTCAGGAATAAAGGCTGATAGTTTCGAAAGAAACTGTTTGGGACTGCGTCGGTGGGAGTAACGAAATAATTTGGATATATCAACAAAGTTGATATATCTAAATTATTTGCTTCAGGAAGACGCTTACATTATAAACTTGGAAGCTTCATTTATTTCTACAAGAAAAACAAAATCGGCGACGACTGAACTTCTAACTGTTCTACTTACAATGTCTGCAAAAACTTCTGTTCCCTGTGTAGCCTTATTAAGAAAAAAAATAAGACAATCAAAATGCACGAAGCTATAGAAGTAAATGAAGGTAACTAAAACATAGTGCTGTTTCTTCACTGAATGCATAGCTGCCACTGATGAAAGCTAAAGCAAACATTTATCTAAAGCAAAAAGGCTAACCAACTCAAAATCTCCCAGGGCGCCCAAAGAAAGTAAAACGTGATAACAATGCGAAGAAAGAAAAGAACCCCCAAAAAATACAGGAAAAATAGCAGACTGTACGAAACGCAAGCACTTGTCAAACGAAATGCCACACATGCGCAGAAGCCTCTTTTGACTCACCTCCACATAAGCTCTGATAAACTTGTCCTTTAACACGAGTCCATCAACAACCAACAATTCCCTGATCACATCCCTGGGGTTTGATAACAGATACATAGGAATTAGTCATTATTTAACGCCTAGGATGGGGGGGGGAAGATTTTTGGGGGATCACATGGTTTTCAAGGGAAGCAGAATTAACTGGAGGGGGGCGGGGGATCTGGTAAATTTTACCGTGACAAAACCAAATTCCCTCAGACCCCCATCCCCCCAGTCAATAACTAATGACCGGTCTCTCAAGGAAACCTAAAGATGTGAGAAGTTTACGCATGACTTGCTATAAATGGCTAAAAAAATCCTCCCTACTTGTACCTGAAAAATGAGTATTTACCTGATATTTGCTACATCAATGACTCCATATTCCGCCTCCTCTGTGTTACTCACGTCCGTTCCTTCAAACGCAAGAACAGTTTGCCTCATTTGTTCCCGAGTGAGCTCCAAAACGTCCTGTTTGGTTATAAATCCTTTCTCGTTACCACCAAGCCAATCAAACATCTGCGAGCCAAAAATATATATATTTTTCGTACTGACTATGACATATTAGGCAATGAAGAAATAAAGACTGCAGGCTAAAACTGGAGTACAATCGAAAATTATAACAGTACTAAAGGATCGCACTGCAAATTATTCGATGCTAAGATGCCATCATACTGACCAACGTAGGCTGCTTGAGTCTTAGAGCCAATCTCATCACAGCAAAATTGACCAATCAGTTTACATGACCCTGAACTACAACTCACCACTGACAACAACTCTACGCTCGAGAACGACTCTGATGACATTACTACCGACAAGAGTCCTTCTCAAGACAACTCATACCCCTACGATCACACCACACGATCAATATGCCACACTGACAGTGTACACTCTAAAACCGAAGCCATCCAGACAATGTGCACCAAGTAGAAGGCAGAACGATCAATATGCCACACTGACTGTGTACACTCTAAAACCGAGGCCATCCAGACAATGTGCACCAAGCAGAAGGCAGAACGATCAATATGCCACACTGACAGTGTACACTCTAAAACCGAGGCCATCCAGACAATGTGAACCAAGCAGAAGACAGAACGATCAATATGCCACACTGACAGTGTACACTCTAAAACCGAGGCTATCCAGACAATGTGAACCAAGCAGAAGGCAGAACAGAAAGAGTGGATTTCGGGATAAAGGTAGAGGCAAACAAAGAAAGGGTCAAGGCAGTCTCGCATGTTGGGTTATTAATAAGGGGGGTGCAGGGGTGCAGATGGTGGGTTGTAGGGGGCTAAAAGCAGATGGCACAGTCAGGGGGGGTACTTCCTATGGGTATGTGCTGCTCAGGATGGGATCACATTTGCATGACCGGATTGACTAAAATGGGGTTGCATTTTCAGTAGAGTTGTTAGAAAGGGGTCAAAATCTCAGGATTTTAAGGGTTAGAAAATTCTGGTAAATAGGGATTTACAAAATGGGAAGATTTACAGTTAAAAAGTTGTTACATTGCCCAAAAGTGACTAGGATGGGGTGTATATTTGGCCACAGAATAGACTATAATGGGGTAGGGGTTCTGAATTACCAACGGTACATAACCAGAAAAAAAAATTGACCCCACCCATCCCTGGAAAGGTAATGGGAGAAAATGAAGGGATTTCTGTTGTCCCAGATAATATTTAACTTCTGATCATCAAAATACCAGAATTGGTGAATGTCAAGTTAGTTTTCAAACCTATACAATAATGGATATAATTTTTGGAGCTTTCAATGTGGAAGAGGGCTTTACTATTCTAAATCACCTAATACTGACAGCTAAATTTTATATATACAAGTGTAAATTGAATTCTAAAAATCCTTCTATAGGAGTTTATAAGACCAAGATCAGGGAGATATACCAGGTAGAAATGAAGATAGCAACAAAGCGGAATAAATTAGCAAAACATTTTCAGAAATGGAATAAGCTTTTGCCACATATCGTTTTGTGGAATGGGTGTCCAAACAATGTAGAGTAGCATACGAAGTCAATTTCATTGTAAAGCACACAATTTTGCTATATACTATTATTAAGGTACTGTAAGTAATTTATGTAACATATTGAAAGGAGTGTAATATGTCGTTACATAATGTAAATGTAGAGTATCTATAGATAGTGGAAGTAATCGATAGTACGTCATCTGCTGTAATCAAGTTTATTGTAAACTATACTTTGTTTGTGGTGTGTTCTCAGTAAACTATTGTAAGCTACGTACTGTAACTGAGTCCTGTAGTGTATTATAAGTAGAGTAATGTTTTGTAAAATGCCAAAAAAATGAAAGAAATTACAAAAAAAAAATCAAAATACCAGAGGCCCTGAGAATAAAGAAGGGTTCTTCCCTGAATGCCCTAATGCCTCAAGGAAGCTGAAGGCAAGAAGCATTAAATCAAACCTTCTTGGGACCAGGAATAAGGTTTTGAGAAACCAGAGGTTTGAGTTTCAACAAAAAAAATGTTATACTGACCATTAAAGCCTGTTGCCTGACTCCTTCAACATAGCTATAACGCTTTTGTTCCTAGAAGGAAAAGTAAACTTTCTTTATACTCATTTGTCTTGCCAATTGTCAGCGATGATGAGCTAGTCTCACCTCAGACACATTAATCTAGAATGCATCCGTTGATCATACAACTTGAAATGTTTACAAATTTTAAACTTAAAGTTACTTTTTCTGAAATTTCAGATTTATAATTAAAGTTCACTTGTAAGGGTCACTTTTTTAATTGTAAAAATATGATTTAATATGAAATTTAACATCTTTTCTGTCTTATACATCACTCACACATAGCTCAAAAGGCCTACTTGTCACATCAAAGGAAATTTTGTACTTCACAACAAACCATTCTAAAATTATAACTTTACATCCATAAAAATGAAGACCAGTGCTCATAAACATCAGTAAGAATATCAATTTGATCAGGTATTTAAGACTCCAGTATGCAAACAATTCATAAAAAGCAAAGAGAATTATCCTTACCTCATCTTCCTCTGACACATTATCGATTTTTCTTAAAATTCCATCTTTATCCAGCTTGTCTTCCTTTCCAAAAAAGTCCAGCATACCTTCCCTGTTGTAAATGACAGTGTGAAGTTTAAGTCATGTTCCACTAAAAGCACTTGACTGTCTAATTATCATTAATGCTTCATATCAAACAGAGTCATCAATTACTTATGACATCCCACTTGATATGCTACACTCTCACTCTTAAAATATAGGCTTCAGTCTTGAAAAGGCTTCTCAGAACACTACCCTAACTGTAGTGACTTATTTAATAATTTATGTGCAACTTAATTACTGAGGAAAAACAATTGTTTTCTAATAGGCAGCAGTGGTTCAAACACATACTACTGCAATTTGCACAGAGCTTCTCTTCATGGTAGCATGTCAATCGAAAGGGAAGCATGTTTCTGAGAGCAAATGTTCACATATTTACCCTTTCACCCCCAACAGTGAGAAGCTTCTAACTTGTCCTTGCACTATCACCCCTCAATCAAATATTAATATCATGAGAGTAACTGAAATGATCAATGACTTAGCAAACATATTAGAGAACAGTATCGAGTATATCCATACTGGGGAGTGGCTCTCACCACTACCCCAACCCTGCGGAGCATGGTTTGCGTAGTGGTAATTGTATACATCATGTGCACACATATTTCTCTTCAACTGTTATTTCTTATAGTTTTGAGTAAAAGGTGATTCCTCATACAGAAAAGTTATCAAATGACTTTTTCTTAACTTTCCTTTAATGTTTCCTGACATTGTCTGATTCCAAAACTTCAATTACCATTAGATTACTAGGTCACTGCACTTGTTAAAGAGAAATGATGGGTCAGTCTTACCCCATTTATCATTATACCAGTACAGTTTGTGGTGCATTTTACAGTAGCTGGAAGCAAGGGTTTTTAAAGTACAAATTGAAGAAATACTTAAAGGTAGAAATGCTCTAGCATATGGAACAATAGTATATATAAATTTGTAGAAAAACATCACACAACTTTAAATGACACCAACTTAAAACATTCCTCAAGTCCCTGCACAGAAACCAAACGTCTGAGGTTCAATTCCTCATAGGCACTCATTTTTAGTTTCTAACTTCACCACAGCATTTAATTCAACCATTATTACCAAACTGATATCAATACTGCCTGAGTGAACAAAGTTCAATTCAATACCTGACTGACTCCAAGTCTGTGTTGCCCATACTCAGATTACCATGTCCAGAGTATTCCCAGTCCAGCTCCATCTCACTCAGAGGTTTAAAACTTAAGTTCTCATCACAGCCTGTGAAATCAATGTCATCAACACCATCCAGCCGGGAAAACAGCAAGGCTACAGCCACATTATTGCTACCATATGAATTCACCTGGTGATAGTAACCTAAAAAAATAAAATATCATATTGGCTTCTGATAACATTCAACAGATAGTTACATGTAGCCATACCACAAAACTTTCAGTGAAGAAATCATTTAGTTTGATATGTTAATATTATTAACTGGTAGAACATGTTTGAGTTATGAAGCCATAAAAGCTCTCAATAAGTTTTCTTTAACAATCTCTGAAAGTACAAAAGTTTTGAGGTTACATATTAAGTCAAAAGTCAGACAGACAGCAAGAACATCAGTCTGAGGATCAAATTCTTAACCACCATTTAAACAGGTGCAACATGTTTCAAAAGCTGGGTAACATAGAAAGTAATTTAGTGCATTACTTTAATTTACTTCTCAATCAAGAAATTTCAGCAATTATAAGTAGTATCAAATTGTGTGATTAGCTACAATTTTAAATCCATTGCAAAAAGATGTATCATTTCATAATATCACAATCCGCAACAAGAGTAACACTTCAGCAAACAAAAAACAAAGAACTGAACAAACTTTAAGAGCCACCTTACTTTTAGGCAAGAAGAGACAGTCCCCTGCATTAATGGTGATCATGGACCATGGGACTCCAGAAACCTTTGGATACTTCAACAGATCAACTTGCTGAGTATTTATTCGTGAAAATCCACCAACATTTTGTGGAGGCTCCCATGCTTTGTATATTCTATCTTCATACTTGTACTCTATTAATTT